AGTAAACTGTCTTTGTATATTTCCTATTTTATATTCATTTCCTAGTATTTAATTTAAATAGTATTTAATAAATAACCATTATTTCTTTTGAACAAAACAATTTCAGAAATTTAATGTTTTAGATTGTAGGTCATCTTGTACCCTGTCAAGGACAAATCTAACCAGCAAAACTTGATATCAAAAGCATCCTAAATGTTACATGTGTTTGCACCATATTGTAGTGAGTAAATTTTCTTGGTATTGCTGTTTCAAATATCCCACCATAATCTGTAATCTGAGCCTGTCAAGGGCTAACGCAATGGTAGATACATTACTAGTAAGTTTCAAGGAAAATCATTTTCTTTTTTTTTGCCAAATAACCCTGTATATGTGTCCGCCCCCGCAACCCCCGGAAAAAGTTCAGGCTCAGGATTTTATTTTTTTGCTTTAACCCCTGCAATTCTTATTTTACTAGTCAGATCTGCTTTTTTTACTCGTCTTATGTTATGACTAGTCCAAATGGCTAGAGTTCAATAAAAAAATTTACTAGTAAAATAAAAAATCTTACTAGTAACATTTCGAATAAGTACTAGTATTTAATAAATGTGTACTAGTATCTATTGAATAAGTACTAGTATCTATTTAATAGGTACTAGTATCTAATGAATGAGTACTAGTTTCTAAAAAAAATAAGCACTAGTACCTAATGGATAAGTACCAGTATCTAATAAATAAGTACTAGTATCTAAAAAATAAGTACTAGTATCTAATGAACAAGTACTAGTATCTAATAATAAGTACCAGTAACCTAATAATAAGTACTAGTATCTAATGAATAAGTACTAGTGTCTAATTAATAGGTACTAGTATCTAATGAATGAGTACTAGTATCTAAAAATACGTACTAGTACCTAATGAATAACTACTCAGTCAAAACTGAATACTTTATATCTCAATGACTGATCCCCACAGAAGTCAATAGCAAAAATTTTAATTTGTTACTAGTGGCAATATAATAGTTACTAGTCACTATTGAAATAAGTGCTAGTATCTAATGAATAAGTACTAGTATCTAATAAATAAGTACTAGTATTTAATCAATAAGTACTAGTACCTCATGAATAAGTTTTCATAGTACCAGAACTAATTGTGGAACTACCCACTTATTGGCGTTTTCGCAATAAATGAACTGGGAGCGATTTTAGTACCGGACTGCCTTTTTCGAGAACCAAA